CCGTTATTCCCATAAGCAGAATTATTGGGTGTAGACCTATGGTGTAGACACACAGAGTTTAACAAACAAGCTGAATGAACACATAAATAAAATCCTGCACATTGTTAAACACTACTTTAAAAGTATTTTACCAATATTTGGGTTCCTAGTGGACATTTAAAGATTATTCTCAACCATCCTATTCCAGTTAGGCTTTCGTCCAAACCACAGCACTGAGACTGCTCTTGTAAAGGTCTTCAATTACATCCCCTTAAACACAGACAGTGGCAGAACTTCAGTGTTAGTATTATTAGATCTCAGTGCTGCGTTTGACACTGTTGACCACAACATATTAATCGACCGACAAGAAAACTGGGTGGGACTTTCGGTAACAGTTCTAAATTGGTTTGAATCCTACTTAAAGGACAGAAAAAAATGTGTTTCTATAGGTAAATACACATCTGAGTTGACAAATATGACATGTGGTGTACCTCAAGGCTCCATCTTGGGGCCTCTTCTCTTTAACATCTACATGCTACCACTGGCTCAGATAATGAAAAACAACAAAATAAGTTACCATAGCTATGCGGATGACACACACATTTACGTAAACACTTCACCAGGAGACTATGCTCCAATTCAAACACTGAGTAAGTGCTTTGAACAAATCAATGACTGGATGTGTCAGAACTGTCTCCAATTAAACAAAGATAAAACTGAGGTAATGGTTTTTGGAGACAAGGCAGAACGTATAAAAGTTAGCGCTGAGCTTCAGTCTGCAATGTTCAAAACAACAGATAAAGCCAGAAATCTAGGTGTAGTCATGGACTCTGACCTGAGTTTCAACAGTCACATTAAAACAGTTACTTAATCAGCCTACTATCTCCTAAAGAATATATATAGGATTAAAAGACTAATGTCGTGAAAAACGTGTCCATGCTTTTATCTTCAGTAGACTGGACTACTGCAATGGTGTCTTCACAGGTCTCACTAAAAATTTTATTAAAGCTGCAGCTAATTCAGAACGCTGCTGCTCGAGTCCTCACTAACACTAAGAAAGTGGATCACATCACTCCTGTTCTGAAGTATTTACACTGGCTTCCTGTGTGTCAAAGAATAGATTTCAAAATACTGCTGCTGGTTTATAAAGCTTTGAATGGTTTAGGCCCAAAACACATTTCTGACCTCCTGCTAAATTATGAACCATCCAGATCTCTCAGGTCTTCAGGGACTGGTCAGCTTTCTGTCCCCAGAGTCAGAACTAAACATGGAGAAGCAGCATTCAGTTATTATGCTCCAAATATCTGGAACAAACTCCCAGAAACCTGCCGGTCCGCTGCAACTCTGACTACTTTTAAATCCAGGCTGAAGACTTTTCTTTTTGCCGCTGCTTATAATTGAACTATTCATATCTTAAACCATAGCCGCGGGAAGTAGGGGTGCTGGGGGTGCTGCAGCACCCCCTGTTGGCGAGTGGTGTACATTTGAACCACCTAAATAAAAATGATTAAACTACATAAAATAGTTATGATTTTACTTAAAATAAAATTTGCTGTATACAGTAATAGTCATAGTATATATTTGTATCAGTCAGGTGGCTTGAAATTATTTTCCAAATAAAATCCGAGTCATCTAGGGCCCCGGCCACACGAGGACGAAAACGGTCGTTTGCGTTACTGTTTAGTGTCATATAGACCTTTCGGCCACACGAGGACGACCCAATACGGCACTAAACGACTGCGGAAACGATAACGGGTCCCAAGGTGGATAGAACGGCATACGCAACTCTCTGGGGAGTCCAACGGCTCCGTGTGTACGCCCTATACGATCATTTTCTGATAATGATGAGGCAATAGCCCCGCCTCTCCCCACCTCTGCTGCTCACCCCTGCGTCAAAGTAAACGGCACACTGAATTCATATTATTTATCTTTCTGTCGATATGGACATAAACGCGAGTGAAGTCTAATCTGACAGGACGGAGACACCTCTCAAACTACCTAAACTAGTTATAAATATGTTTATTTTTACTGTCGGCCGGGTCTCTCATTACTGGATCAGCTGCTGCATGAAACAGACACTGGCGCTGTCCGAAGAGAGGGAGGAAAAAGAGAGGCTCCATGTATTTTATTATTATAATAGATTCGTTATTCATTTGTTTTAAAGCTCAATAAATAACAAAGAACACCTTTGACCGGCACTTTTATAATTTTGTCCGGAAGATTTAAACTTGAATACACGTTGACTGGCGAAAAACTCTGCCCGGTTCCTTCGGCCCCCACCGCGGAGAATAAACAGAAGGGCAACAATGACAACCATGCTTCTTCGCTGCTTTTGTGGATGAAGTTACAGCGCCACGTACAGGCTCCTACATATGTACTGCAGCTTCTCCAGCGGTTGGAGCTAAACGGAGCTGTCTCGTGTGGACAGACACTGGTTGCGTTCCGATTATCCAAAAATCAGCTCCTAAATTGTAACCCTATCTCCTATTCCTTGACCTCTGAGTGAAACGTCACGGGGTTAAGGGATAGTGGATAGGAGAATTCAAAAGGACTTAGGAGAAGAGACTGCGGTACTTTAGAGCAGTGGTTCCCAAACGGTGTGCCGCGGCAAAAATCCTAAACAGCTCAGTAAACACTGTGAAATGTTGACTTTATTTGATAATTTCAGTAAAAACTAACGTTCATATTTCTCTTTTTGATTAAAATACTGATGAACATTCAAAACAAAGCACTTTGGCAACTTTCCACATACGTTTTAAAATGCTTAATAAGCATCGTAACTTTCATGATATAATTTCTCCGTCATAATCGTTTGTTTCCGTGAACGGCCGACTGTTGAGTGACGGCAAATGCTGCGGCTGTAAGGCATTGTGGGGCAGCATTTTCTCCTCTCCTTTCGGTGAGGGAGGTCCAGTGGTTCCTAGGCTAAAGGAGGTTATAAAGGAAGTTTGAAACCTCCTTTCCTTTCATTTGGAGAATTGGAACGGCACTTATCATGGCTGCCACTGACGTACTTCCGGGTTATTTCACTCCGTTAGGAAGGTTCCTAAGCTAAATGGACTATTGGAACGCAACCACTATCCGGTGAATATTGCGTGTGGACGGAAGCTTTTTTGCGATTGCATTTGCGTTAATCCTATGCGTTTAGCCGTTTTCGTCCTCGTGTGGCCGGGGCCTTAATGTCTTTCATTTTTGTAAAGCACTTTGAATTGCCTTGTGTTGAAAGGTGCTATATAAATAAACATACCTTGCCTTGCCTTTTGTAAACCCACCTGTCACATATGCTGCTACAGTGCATGTAGGCTACAGATAACTCCGTATTTAAAGCTGAAATGCTGTATCTTACATATCAAATCACACAGGCGACATGTACAAATTATGAAAATACATAATGTATTTCACACATAGTACTTGCTTCTTTTTTACATAAGCAATTACTGTCCATCGCTAAAAGCTGATTGGTGTGATCTGTGTGCTGATAGGCTACTCACCTGCCATTCGTTTCCGGCTGAGTTTATGTTTTTTCGAAGTCCAAACAGGAAAGTAGAACCCGGTTAATTAAATAATGTTCTCTAGCGGTGTGAAATCCAAAGTTTCTCGCCGCATAAGAGGAGCATGGTCCTGGAGAGAAACACGGAGAGAGCAAGCTGCTGGGGGCGGGGCTCTGCAGACTGATTTTAAAAATGCCATTTTCTTAATCTCTTTCATTTTTTGTAAAGCACTTTGAATTGCCTTGTGTTGGAAAGTGCTATATAAATAAACTTGCCTTGCCTTGCCTTGCCTTGCAGCCCGCTGAGGGGCCAGCAGCGCCCCCTTCCGGAGCCCAGACTGCAGTTCATCTATTCTACACATTACACCCACCTGTTATTTTACTTCATGGGAAACACCTGGTAGGTGGTATGGACGCATTTGGGGGACTACATTCAAATCATAATGTAATCTGACAAAAGTCATTTCGTTTCTCGCTTTCATGTGTATTAATTTGGTGAACAATGTTCAGGGAAAGTCCATCAATTTATATGAATTGCATTTTCATTTATTACAAGTTTGATTGTTGTCAACGATACATTTGGACTTTGAAAACCTCAAATCCTTTTTCATTTTAATTTTGTCAGAAAATGCTCATGCTACTAGTGAAAATTCAAATTGCATTAATGTATTGTAATGTATTTTCAAAAAAAAGCTAAGATAAGATACCGATATCCAAAATCGGGAATTTATTTCGTTGCAGCAGCATGTAATACATGTATTGCAAATCATTTGAAATAAAGAAAGAGTATAAAATAAACAATTATACAATATAAACATCTCATAATAAAAGATAAAACAAAATTAAAAGAGTGAAAATATGTAAACTATCTGACACTAAAACACTATTGATGGACTAAATTACAGCTAGCTAACACAATATAGAAGTTGGATAGTATTTACTATGACATATTCAATGAAATATAGATGATACCTTTAGATTGAATTCAGACTGCCAATGCTAAACTTATTTTATTACAATTGTGTTAATATAAACTAAAGTGAATACAAGCCTCAATATTTTTCAATACTTATTTAGGAACAATATATTACCTATACAATTGAAACAAGTACACATCAATTAACGCTCTCTTAAGACAAATATCAATAGAAATACAAATTCATTTCCAAATACTTTTATTACCCAGACATGTTTAAGCATGTTGTAGTGTTCACAAAGACATTGTTGGGCCCTGAAGTCGTCATCATTTAAATGAGGTTGTATCTTTATTTATTTGTTATATATCTCTAGGAAATGATATCTCATACAACTCAAATGTTCACCCCGTCCCCAAGTTTATTTACCCTTAGCATAGTTCAGTTTTGCCCCCAGAGAACAAATGTAATCAGTATCCTGTTAACTCCTGTAAATAGAGTTACAGTGATCCAACCTACCACAGTTCAATCTCCACTTAGTGCACATGCTTCATCTGCTGAAATTGCACTGCTCATGCAAAATTATAATGAAATCGAATATATGAAGTTCCCCGCTGTTATTCCTGCGCCACCTTCCCCGTGATCCTGTATGTCTCTGTGGGCCCCGGCTCTCCACCGTTCAGCTGGGTCTCCTGGCTCTCTGGCTTCTCCAGTAAATCTATATATAGGTAACATAATTAGAGACAAACGTTTCAACGTCTGGCATGTCAACCCTGTCCCCTAAAAGTTGTAGGAAACTTCATTCTCGATGATGTTGCGAGGGAAACTCGTTTTTTTCTGGGAAAACCGTTGTCATTGTAAATGTAAAAAAAACATCCAAAAAAACAACAAACCGACTTTGTTACATTTAGTCAAAGATCATGCGTAGTATTCAAATAAGTATGTTTATTTTGTGACTTCATTTGATGACGTGAGTCAGTGGTTCCCAACTTCTTTTGTCTCGTGTCCTTGAGCTGGTCAAAGAACCCCCTCACTCATCTGTAATTATTCACCTAAATATGTTCTTGTGTTAAACCCTCGTAAGCGTTATTAACCCAACTGCTCCTCAAATGAATATCACTTGTATTACTCACCCTTAATACAATTGCTTTTAAACTTGACATTTACACATTTTGTCAGTGAAAAATAATAATATTAAGACTCACTTCTAGCAGTTTCAACATCTTTTGTTAAGACTGGAGCTTTGAATGAGACACTTGAGCTTGCTTGTCTTTCATAAGCTCTGATAGTTCTGGGGGCAGGACATCAGGATTATGAGAATTTATATAAAATGTAGTCAATAATCAAGTAGCCCTAGGGGTCCCCAAACCCCCGGTTGGGAACCACTGACGTCACGTAACTAAATAACGCTATGTGTATACTAAGAAAGAATTACATACATTATTTGAAATAGGTCTTTGATTAAAAACAGATTTGTGATAAATCAAACACAAACTAAATCAATCAAATAGAACACTGTATTGACACGCAGGTTTGTTTTAGGAAAGATAAATAAATGTCTGTGTTATTGTTTTTATTTATTTTTTTAATTGAGAACTGGATTTCTAATAAATAATAAATGACACACCTGTTTGTTGAATGTCTCCTGAAATGTTTCTTTTGTGCTTGTGAGAGGGTGCATAGAGGAAGATGATGGTGAAAACATACAGGTTCCACATGCCGTAGACTCCTGTGAGGAAAGCACTGTGGACCTGCAGTGTGTAGGCCCCCCAGAGCCAGTGCCCATCACTAACCTGGTGAAACACAGAACATTTAGAATCATCGTTAACAGCACAAACAATAGTGATATTGATCATTTGAGGAGCATCACTTACTTGATTGAGGATGAAGAAGATAACCGTCATGGCTGCACATGCTAGAGTTACCAGCATCAAAAACTTGAACCTGAAGATCATACCCTGTAAAACCAGCACAAAATGGAAAAACAGCCAACATATGGTTTTACCTATTTGTTTTCAGATATGAAATTGAGCTGGACAGACCTTATATCGCAGTCTCCTAGCCTCGGGCATTGCAGGAAGTTGCTGTATCTTCCCGCCAATGTTCCTGAACACACAACGCACCATGCCACACAAAGAGAGGAAATACAGACAAACAGAAGTCCCTGCCATGAGGATGAAGGTTATCTGTGAGGACAGTCAAGGAAAAGCCTGGGTGACAGAGGGGAACACATTTAACCCACGTTTACCTCAAAGGCTTTTATATTGAAAAATATTTCATTATTTTGGCACAAATGATGGCAAGGGGGTGAGTTTGTTTTTTCATAATTTAGATAGTTCAACCTCAGCTTCGATAATGAGTTTATTATAAAGAGTGCAGCAAAAATACAGACACTATGAACCTTGATGACAAAAACTGAAATAAAACCGATTGGAACCATACATTTAAAACTCAGTACAGAATTTAAATATGCAATTTATTATAATGGGTTATCAAATTAGGGCCCAGGTTGGGTTATTTTCTCATCATTTAGATGATTTTTCTGGTTTCCAAACTTTCCAGTTAAATTATTTCTACAGTATGATGAGTTTGATGTGCCTCATCATAATTATCATTACGGTATATGTGTTTTTTCCCACCTAAAAAAATGACAGTGAAACTATGTTAAGGTACTAGTATTAAAAGGATTTACATTTTGAAGAAATTAATGAATATTTGGTAGTTAGGGTCAGGATTGATGTTGGTTAGAAGATTGAACTCTGTGAAAGTGGAAAATAATTGTATATATAATATGGTGGTTTTGTGACGGTGACATTTTTGACCTTAAATGATTAGTGATAAATCAGACTAACTTTATTAATGTGAGGCACAGCGGTTAAGATGGTTCTTATAAATATGTGAAGTATAAATAAGAGAAGGATACTGAAATATTCGTCCCGATTTCTGATGCCCAAACACTGTAGAAAGGGTTGTTCAAATGAATCCCCCTTTATATTAAAAAGCACATTAATATTCGAAGAAAGATAATACCAGAACACAAGAGATATTATCCAAATTCATCACCTTTCACTCAGGTCAAATGCGAGGAGAATGGATGAGCCGAACATCACCAGCCCGACCTGCCACCAGTACGCCGACAGACGGTTCCTCTGACTCTGGTCCTGCAGGGATTGTCATGAAAGGAAATGTCATGCCTGGCAAGAAAGTATTGAAAACAAGTGCAGCAGAGAAGAAGAAGGGGCTAACCATGAGGTGTTCACCACAGAAGATGATCCAGAAACAGAAGAGAGTGGTGTAGAAGACGCCCTGTTGAGCGTCTTCTAACAGCAGCATCCAGGTCCAATCACAGCCCAGAGACAGCCACTCCACCGGAACATTCAGGATCGTCATGGAGACGCCCAGAGCCAGAATCACCCTGTGCAAGGCAAATGTACTGACTTACATCTGCTCTTTACAATAAGTGACCTTCTGCTGCAGGCAGTGTTGACCTGCTTCTACCTGGCTGTTCATGCACTTCATGATTCATGACATGTTCCTTTCCCATGCTCTCAAAATGCCCCCCAGAGCAGAACATACTACTAGACAGCATGTGATGGTTTACCTGTGGTTTTAAATCTGCACTGAGTGACTCAATAGCCTGGCCTGGCTTGCACTCAGTTTCAACATTAGAGCACTAGAGCCGTGTTATATCACCCTTTTTCAGTCTGCCATACAATATCTGAAGCGACAGGGGTGGTGTTCAATATAAAAAAAAATGTTGACCAATTTACCAATACAATTTAAAATAATTAAATGAAACTCAACTAATTGTTATAATCTGTTTTTTTTTATCACGTCTTTTTGGATTTCATTTTTATATTATTGTAGACATGTCTTTTGAAAGTATTTTTGGGGTATTTAATGATATTTTTCCTAGTGACATCTACTATGATAATTTTACGTTTAACAACATCACTTCTCATAATGTTATTTTTTATTACATTTATTTTTAAGACAGTGTTTTTTTTTTACCATAAGGTGTTACTGCCTTAATATTGAAGACGTTTGGGTTCCATTTAGAAATACTCCTAACATGACTGTCCATAATGTTACAATGTAACAGCAGTTAGTTTGATATAAATACATCAAGGCTACTTTGACATTGGCTCATACTTTTCCAGAAGGACTGGAGGTCTCGCCAGGAGACCGATCCTGTGCCAGTACCAAACGGATGCCACCAATATCCAGGGAGTGAACACTGTCTTCATGCTGATCCACACTTTAGTAAAACCTCCATTCTGGTGGATGCCCTGAGAGAAGAGGGACATCAAATGTTTGAATGCAACACATGTAAGATTCAAGATTTAACTCAAACCAAACATGTCAGTTTAATTATAAGAACTAAACTCACCACGAGATTGATGTCTTTTATTTCTCCAATTCCAACATTTACTGTGTCATTTACCGGCAAGCGAAGGTTGATCAAGAAATATTTGTGGGCCACACTTCCCAGTTGCATGATTGGTATGGGGTCACAGTGATAAAAGCGTCCTTCGTTTTCATAAGTCTGCAAAACAATATATTCTTACAGGTCACCAGGCAGAAATAATGATTTGCTGGTATTTAAAGATCTCCTATTATAATATTTGTAGGCATATATTATAGGTCTCAGATATATAAAAAACATGTCTATGAAGTGTTTTGCTCAAAATACCAAATAGATCACCCACCCACCCACCTCTATTTCAGCCCTGTTAGAGAAGTGCTGATTCTGGGTCCGTAGCTTTAATAAAATAAAAATAAATAAAAAATGAGTGGAGATGATAGCTCCTGCAGGAGAATTCTACCCAGATACAGCTAAAAGCTGCCATGATTAAACACCATATCATGTTCCAAACCACATAAAGGATTATTTCTGAAACGTTATGCAGCTCAAATGCTTTTTCTCTTGCGGGTGAGTTCGGGTGAGTTCCTTTTATATCTGGCTTCTTTACAAAATTCTCTCCAGTAGGCTACTGAGTGTTAATGTAAACAAAGACCATATTACGTCCAAAACGTCACGCATTCTGATAGGTGTTGCCAGCCCACATTTCAGATAGTACTTCATATCGGCAGCAAATCTGGATCCGCTCCGTTGTTCCCCCGTTTTTAGAGATTTGGGTACGGAGAAAAAGAGAGAGGGTCTTGTTTTCTGACACGTTGTGAGTCTACTGACACACCGGGGACACGTATGTATAAAAGACGTCAAAAAGTGCATTTTGCATGATAGGAGACCTTTACTATTTGTAACCGTATCACTGATATGTCGTTGGTCAACTAGAGAGCTTACTATTTTTGGCAGAGTACAAAGTGCATTTTGAATGATAGGAGACCTTTAAAGCAGACGTTCAGGTTTACCTTAGGGACTGAAAACGTGCACCTGAGGGGCCTCTGCTCCACTGAGTGGCGCGCTGTGGTCCACTCAGATTTCAGATCATCCCTGTGTGCCAGGCCAGCATCAATAGTGATGATGACGTCCTCTTCTAGGCAGACAGGGAGACGAGTCGACTTCATTCACCACAAGATATGATGGCATGGATCTGTACTATTTTCATTTCTGATAACTTACCAATCTGATTGATCATTTTAAATGCAATGTCAAACTGCAGAACAGCCAGCATGAACTGGAACCAGGGGCTCATCTGGGTGTTGGGGAGGGGTATGTGCACAGCGAAAACGATGTCGTTGGCATCCAGTGTTTTTGCCAGAGGCTCGTCAAAACTATTGACCTGCTGGCAACGGTTCGATCCCCACGGCATGAGCCAGCCATGCACCCTATTGCGATTTATACATTTAGTGGCCAAGTAGCGAATGGCACTGGTGGGACTGGGAGCTATGGGAAAGTGGAATAATATGTCAGAGACTTGCGGACATTTGGTGTTTATTGTACTCATTTTGTCAAATAGCTTTGTCTGTAACTTTCTTCTACTGTACTGTAAATTCACCAAAAGTGTTTAAATGTAACATTTTAGATAACTTGCGATACAAAAGAAAATAATGTAAGAATTTAACCGTGGAAATATCACAGTTGTGATAGCTATTATTTTATTCCCATTTTGAATGCCACAATGTTATGAATTAAAGTGCGATATCCTGAATTCCCTCAATTGTACAACCGCTGACTAATTTATCACCAAAACGAAACAAGAATTGTATTTTAAACATGATTTCTGTACAATTTCTTCTTACAACATTTAAATAAACAAGCAATACATCTCACTTACCAATTAATGCCCCAACCATGATGGAAAGAACTTGGAAACCAAGAATAAAAAATCCCAAGAAAAACAATTTCTTAGTGCTCATGTTCTCTATTACTGCTCCTGACATTTGAAAGAGTATTTGGTGAAGCGCGTGCCTGCCGTCCCTGAAGGCTAAGAGCTGCTCTGCTGCTCGTCTACCTGCTCACACACACTGATCCTCTGTGGAGCCAGAGTGAGAGCAGAGGGGAGAGGGGGAGGTTTGATAAGGTTTCGTATGATTAGAACACAAAACAATTGTCTATAAAACGTGATTCCTTTATTGCTTAAAGAATACAACTTTGTAGCATAGGTGAGTGAATGTGTATCACATCAACGTCACTTGTCTTTACACTGAGGATTGACCACAGTCACAATGCAAATGTTTCATACTGCACCCGGAGAGAGGGGAAATAACAAATTCAGCCTGGATATCAAAGCATCTTACAGAGTCATATGTTAATAATCCTTAACATTGTTTATACTGACCTGGAGCCAGCAGCGAGAATCACAGTAGCACCTACACCTTTAAAAAAACACTACCTCCGGCTGTTAGTCTATCTTTGGTTGTATGAGACAAAAATATACCGTTTCTGAAAGGTGTAGCTCTGTAGCAATACTGTGGGTGGTTCAAGGTAGAAAGTAAAGCAACATAAAGTTATCTTAATGGCCTAAAAATTAACCCATGACAATTTCATTTCTCTATTTAACCAAAATAAATCCTATATTCACAACCCCTCAAATTAACCTCTTTTGAACCAATAAAGAAACACTTTCTGCCAAGTGACCATCAAACCACATGATCGGAGAAATCCACTGCTCTCAAACCATTCAAAAGCAGTTCTCCTACACCACCAAAAGTGATTAAGTACAACTGATAACATAATCAAGCTATCTGGTGCAGTACCTGAAGGAGAGAAACACTTTTCTGCATTATCACCAACAATCACTGACATATCCCAGGCAATGTCTTCCTTCTGTTTCCACAACACATCCAGAAATCTACAACGCACAACATAATATCCAGAAATAATTCAACAGAAGAAGGGAACAAGTAGAGGAGATGAGACTGATTTAACACTTCATTCACACCTCTCAGTCCAAATCATCATGGTGTCTGAATGTGTGGCAATCTTGGAATCCCCCTTCATTTCTCTTTTCAGTGTTCATTCCAATGTGCATTATCCATGTTGCACTGATGTACAGCGGCGACTGACCCGCCTCACGTCTCTGCCGACGACAGCACTGGGGGGGGATTAGGGTGCCGCCGCTGTCCCAGGAAGGAGTTCAGATGTGTAGAACGGCATCCTGGGTTCACATGTCTTCCTCATCGTCTTCATCCTGAGATGACCCGGCCTGCTGGGCGGCGCTGGCGGATGCAGCCGCCATCTGCGCCTGCTGGGCCGCCTGCTGCATCTGGAGCCACTCCTGCTGGGCGAGCTCCGCCTGCTGCTGCCGTGCCTGAGGAGCACAGAGGCATGAGACAAGAGGACACTGCTGAGTGATTAGGGGATAACAAAGAATCACAATGGGGATATTATTAACTAAATAGTTTAGGACTCGTATGATCCAAACATTACAATAACTTGCTAAATCCCAAATATAAATGTATTAAAAAATAAACATGTAATCATTATCAACATTTTATGTAACCAAATATTCTGTTTCCATCAGTATTTGTTGGTGTGAGGCTTTCCAAAAAACTCTTTTTATAGCCTTTTTACTGTTTGCAATTACTTGTTATATTCAATTAATGTTGTTTCTAGGGTGACTTCTGTCCTTAAATAAATGTTTTTGTTGAACTGTTTTTATTAGATTTGACAGTGATGGCAGTCATTCAAAAGCTTCATACCTCCATAAAAGCTGGTGCAGTCCTATATTATACACTAAGCAGAATTGTGTATATTCTCCCATGTTATTAGAGGGCAACCAGCTGTGCGAGGGGACGGGTTGCATGGAAAGTAGCTTTGCTGATGACAATATGCAAACCTTAGCATCAGGCCTCGTTAAGCGTTTCTCGCAGGATATAAAAACAAAAAATGTCTTTACATCGCCCTAACATGTTGTTACATTTCTTGTGAAAGGTGAACCTCACCTAAAGACTGGACTTCTATATGTCACTAAAAGAGCGACTGCACATATATACCATAATACTTCAACATGTTCAGTTGTAAATATAGATATGCGTCTCAATTATGTAAAGACAGCATATGACCACACCTCTTCTACATATGTTTGGCTTTTATCACATACTGTCTTATGCATTTCCTCTTGATATTGTAAGATTAATATCTTAGTGTGTAAACACTAAGATAGTAATCTTACAATATAACACATGTTATCAATGTTACTGCAGGCATTGAAACATATTGCATTAAACCATACACTTATTTCCTACCCCAGATCTACATTGGACCATGCACAATAAAGTGGAGATCCACAGCATGGATTTTGAATCCTACCTTGGCAAACAGTTCCTGCTGTTGTCTGAGCAGCTCTTCCTCCGGGATCCCCAGGTTCTCCAGTCGAGAGCTGGCCTTCCTCCTCTTCAGAGCCACAGTTTTACACTCCTGCAGGACGTCCTTCACCTCCGTGATGTATGATGCGAAACCAAGGCTCTCTAGGGCTGTGGTGTGAAAACGAGACGAAAGCGAAATGATTACTCTGTGGTTTAAAATGCAAGACAGGGAGACACACACACCCTCTTGTGTACATCAATACAGAGTAGACAGATGTTGATGTGCAGAGACAGAGCAGGACTCACCGTTGATGACATGCTCAGGAGAGATGGTCTTCTTGTCGGACTTGTTGCATATTTCATTGGCTTCTGAGGATATGAGGTGTATGAACTCGGTGCAGCAGTTAACCACCAGCTCCCTGGCGTCGTTAGCCACTCGGACGTTAGGGAGAACTTCCTTGATCATCTTGTTGATAGCTGCTCTGGGGATGGTGAGGTCGTCGTCGTTTCCAGAGGAAGAAGCCATCGTGGCAGGCGAACAAAAACACAAACCAGCTAAATGAAACCTCTTGACTGAAAAGTAAAAACGCTAGCAGTCAAATGCAGGTTTCCTTGAGTTTCTGGAGTGTAGTGGCCTTGTCAAGGCAACGTCAACATGAATTGAAATGTCATCAAGAAAATAAATCGTTTCCTCAAAGTTAGCCGGTTGGCTATCTTGCTAAGCTAAAGAGCGAATTTAACGGGGTGCAGTTTCTGCACAGCTGTTACACGGAATGTGACAGATAATTAAAAGGTCCGAGAAACGTTGAAACAAAAATAAAAGAACGCATAAAACGTTAATACTGGGGGAGAAAATGCCTAGCTAGTCTAGCTAGCTAGTAGCTGTGGTCCCTGTCGCAAGAAAGCCGTAACCCAGAAGACAAGCGAAAGCGGAGTCTGAGAGCATGGCTAATGCTATGCTAACAATGAACTGCCCCGGCCAGGTCTAACTAAATAGTTGACTGGGTAGAGACAACTACTAAAATAAAGTGGCAATAACACTGCAGGCTACTGTTCTATGCATCGATCTAGTGGGTCAAACATGTCAAGCAATCGTAAAGCGTTAAGCAGTTAATTGAACATTTTGTATGCTGGGTAACGTTAGCTTTTTAACCGGATACAACGTCAATGCCGGATACTATTTCTTCTTCGTGAGTATTTATTGGCATCTGACAAACCATCCCAGAGGCAAGACTGCCACCGCCTGACGGGAGTGTGGAACAAGGGTTTGTGCAGGGAGATGTTATCTAGATTAGGCCTATTTTAGATAAACCAGGCTGTTGATAATTGCACAGTTTATCTTGCCTGCTGTTTGCCCTTAGAGTCCTCACAGTAAAGTGTTGAGGTACTTTCCCTTCCGTATTAACAGAATAGTGTGGTTTCTCTTGATGTTGTATTTTATGCAATGAAATAGTATTTGTTCTTGTGTTTGCTACAGTGTGTAAATATTTCTTGTTGGATGCTGGTCTTTTTTATATAATGACAGTGGCATTTTAATCTCAATACTCCTGCCATACTGAATGTCTCAGCTTAATCCAAGTTTAATGGAATTTGTAGGTGCATAATTGTTTGTTTTGCCAGGTTTGGCCAGAACATCCCCCTGCATTCCAAATATTCCGAAAGGAAACATTACTATAGTAAAGGTATTGATTTACTATCACAATGGTAACTATAATCAGACCGGATAACATAGGAAATAAGTGCAATTAGACTATAGTGGCAATAGTCACTCATCTTCTTATTACAGACACATGCATTTCCTAACATCCGGTCTATATGCTGTAAAATGTATTATCTCTTGGATTTACACACGGCATCTATTGCACGTCTGTCCGTCCTGGGAGAGGGATCCCTCCTCTGTTGCTCTCCCTGAGGTTTCTCCCATTTTTCCCCCTTAAACTGTGGGGTTTTCTCTGGAAGTTTTTCCTTCTACAATGTGAGGGTCTAAGGATAGAGGGTGTCGTTTTTCTCATACTGATATTCTGAACAATCTGTGCTGTTGTATTTGCTGTAAAGTGTCTCTACTGTAGGCTATTTTTATTATATGTACAGCACTTTGGCTTGACCAAAAATCGTTTATAAATGTGCTATATAAATAAAACTTGATTTGATTTGATTAGTCAACGATAACTTAATTAGAAGCTTAACAGTCTTTACATTTGTCAAAAAAAAACGAGAACTAATTTAATAACTCATGAAAAGCGGTACAGATACATTTGCTGGCGTTTTGATTGAAACAAATTGGAGACATTGAAGAAAATAAATGAATATTTGTAGAACTCAAATTTTTCGTGGCTGTGTACATGTTTCGAAGTAAGCCAAAAGTAATCACTCAGTAATGGAATTTATTAATTTCAATGTAATCTGACCCAACCCTGTTTATTTCCTTCTCTTCTGCTGGCATTTGTATACTTTGAATGATTGTGGAACATAGCCTGATAATAAAGACATATTCATAATATTTAATAAAGAAGTGCTAATTAATGGAAAAACTTCCTTCAACAGCTTAGTTGGAATTGGGTCTAACATACACGTTGATGGTTTAGAAGAGAGAATCATTGAATTTAATTGTTCAAGGTTTATGGCTGAAAAGC